GAAGAAAATTGATGGTAATCTTGTGAAGTAATTAATTTACTGGATACCACTTCCAGAAAAAAAGCATGAAGAACAGTGAGTCAACAGCTGGCTTGCTGTGCCAAATGATGGATAAACATGTCTTTGCACAAAGAGGATGATACTGTCTATCTGCAATTTTCCACACAAATCTAAGTATTATAATAATAATAATAATAAAAAAAAAAAAGGTCATACCTTCCTCAAGTTCTAAAGTATTAGAGTTAGAGGAGTTTTTCCATGTAAAGGGGAAAAGTTTCCCATTGTGGGTGTAAAAATTCCTTTTGTTGGGTGCACAATCTCCTGTGCATTGTTGAGGCATTTGTGGGATCTAGGCAGTGGTTTACTTCTGAGCATACTGTGCCAGAAAATTTGGTCCTACATTTTTGCAGGATATACTAGAACTTGCACTGAAAACCTTGTAAAAGGTGGAGGGAATGGGAAAGTAGTGTGTCACGAGTGCAGAAGTCTCTGTTGTAAGTTCTCCTGACTATTTGAATGACAAGCGTTAAGCTGAAATCACAAGCTTTCACTAAAAAGTTACTAGTCCTGCTTCTGTAACAAACAGAATCTTGAAAATAGTACTCATGCACCTAAAAATTCAAATTCAGCTTAAAAAGATCCCCAAATGTGCCACCCTTTAAAAGATTCTGGGTCAAGAGCTACCTTTATTTGAAGACGACAATATTGAAGTTACCACTGGCCACTTCTTTCTAATGCTTCCTGTAAATGCTGCAAAGTTTAGCCTGTCCTCCTTCAAATTAACAGAGCATGGCCTGTACTTGAAGGGAGGAATGTGGTTGTACCTCTCTTCTCAAGTCTGAGTGAAATAAAAACACTTTTCCTGTTGGATCTGTGGCATGACCTTGTGTTTTCCTCTCCAAGCATTTATCGACGTCTGGGCTTCTAAAAGTATGCAGAAGTACTGCACAGCAGTTTAAGACAAGAGGCAAATGAGTGTATGGTATCTAAACAAAAATGTAGTGGAAATTTAGGTTGACAGAATGCAATTGCAAAAATGTGATTTAGTCAGAACTCCAGGAATAACCTTGTTCACAGTGAAGTTGAGATCTCTAAGGACTGTAAATACTTCAGATATAGGTTTAATACTGCGTCCTAAAGACAGTGCTTCCAACAATTCAGCCTGACACTGTGCTGGCATATTATTTGATACCACCTCAGGGGTAAGGATACTACCTATGGAGTCACTGGTGTTAATGCCTGCTATCTACATAGAAACAGGTGCTATTTGACAGTTATTTGTTACCTTAAAAAGAAGAAACCACACAGCATACATTTTATATAACTTACACTTAACAATCTTTCAGATTTAATAGTCTTTCAGAGGATTAGCATATACGGCAACACTTAGAGGAAACAAGAATTTGTGAATCTCTAATGCCAGGGCTGAGAGAAATACATTATATCTGGGTGTGCAGGAAGAGCTGGTGGGGGATCCACCTCTCACGTACCCCTCATATGACTATGTCTCATTTGCAGGCTCCATGAGTCTCTTCCTTTACTGAACCTTCTAGGAGCATCCTGAGCTGTTAGGATTCCACAAGGGACCAGCTGAGCTGGTGTCACAAGCAAAATAGCCACGATTTGGGGAACTGGGGTTGGGGTTAGACACATAATGTTTTCTCTCTGCTGATTGTTGCTTTTTACTTGTTTTCCTCTGCTCCAGTGTGGTATCTGCACAGGTCACAGGCCCGTTCCTGCCCTGACATGTATTCTCTGTGAGCCACAGTCCCTTTGGGAATGTGTCCTGTCCTGGTGGTGATCATCCATGGGCTGTAGCCCCTCAGGGGTGTTCTTACCTGAATGTGTGTCACTTATGGGCTGCAGTCACTTCAGGGCACCCCCACTGTGGGTTGCAGTGCCTTCAGAGGTGCACCTCCTCTGGGATGGAGCATCTCTGAAGAGCACATCTCCATCTGTGCCCTCAGCGACGTCCCTGTCCATGTGCCACCTCTGTTTCTTCTCTCCCAGCAGCTGTCACTCTTTCTTAAACATCTCTGAACAGAGGCACCATGTGTTTGGTTGAAATTTTGATGTGTGATATGGGATGCACACTGGTTTTGGAGACAGCTGGAGACAGGTGTGACGGCACAGGGCAGCAAATGGATTCCTCCCTGCAGGACACCCTTGCAGCCCCTGGCTATAGAAAACATATTTGTGCCCAGTAACAGCTGGGTGCAGTCCCTCAGCATAGCATGCTCTGCCCCTGCAAGACAAACTCTTACTGAGTGGACTCCCAAAGTGTCCCATGGTAGTTCAGGGTCTAGCTAAATAGCAAAGCCTGTTTTGCTGCCTTTTGCTTTATTATTCTTGTGGTTGTGTGTTGTTACTTGATACCTATGAAATACTTAAAACTGAAATAGAGATCAATTGCACTTCTTGTTTGCTAGTATGAAAGGCTCTTTTGAAAATGGCTTCTCCTCAAGGATGTCCGAGTGTCCACTGGACATAGCAGTTGAAAACAGAGGAGCAAAATTTAAAGCAAAAGGAATTGAAAGTGAGGCTATTCAGAAATTAAATGTGTTAACAATTTGTCACAATACTGACTTTATTTGAAGGTATCTGCCTTCAATTACCAAAGATGAGCCTTGCAAAGCTCTTAGTATGAAGACCAAGGAGATACTTTCTTTCATGTCTAGCTTGCTAGGCAAAAATTGTTATTCTTTATCACAAGAAACTACTGACAACAATTCACCCCTGTGATCATTACCTCAGCAAAGACTGCTGTAATGATTTATATCTGAGGCTTGTGGTATGCACCAGCTTTACCTGGTGTAAATGCTGTAGTTAATTTTCTTTGTATAAAAAATATGCTACCAGCAGGTTGCTATAGTTCCCAGGATCCTCCACAGTCTCTTATTTGACTTCTAGCATCCATTCAAGAGCCCTTAATCTATTTTTCTTCATTTGCAGCTTGATGGGAAAGCTATGCTCTCAGGAACCATGTAGTTAGAAAGCTCTGGACAGATGAGGAAGGTTCTTGGAGAAGGTCACCTGACTGTGGGGGAGCTAATGGATGAAATAAAAATGAATTTAAACTGCAATTTGCAATGCTTACCTGCTAGGAAAATCTTTCCTGTGCTACTGCAGACAGAATTATATTAATGGAAAGGTCAGGAATGAAAGAAATGATCAAGCAAATGAGAATTTGGACATACTTGGCTTAAATGTCCACCAGGGACACACAGAGAGCAGGGTCCACTGTGAAGCATTTGTTGAATGTCCTAAAGACTTGAAATTGTGTAGGAATTGTGGTGATGAATGTCTTACAGGGAGCAGAAATAAACATAATTGTACTCATTTTAATTGTTAATTAGACATAGGAATTTAAAAGGAAAATGGGTGGGTTTTTTCCTTAGTGCTGATCACAGTCAATGGGAGCAGATTTTTTACTGTTGAGAGTCTGAAAACATCTGGGACCCAGTAAACATTAACTTTGAAAAACAAAGCAGTGGGGGACAAATCTTTTCCATGTCAGGCTTAGTTTAACTCCTCCTGTTGGGACTCTTTTGTTCTTTGTGAGTTCCTTTTAAAATACATTGTGTAGGTGTTTAGCAGTGTCCACAGAATGTGGGTATAGTCCTTCTTAGGCTGGATCTTTTAAAATACTTAATCTGACTTCTGAATTGAACACTGTTTTGAATATGAATAAATGAAAATTCATTTGAAAGTAAAGGGGCTGGATTGAAAAAAAAAAAAAAAAAAAGGGTAGTTGACATTATGTGGCGTTCTTATGAAAAACCGTATTAGGACCTGTAACCCAACCAAGGGTGGGCTGAGGAGGATTGCCTTTGTAAGCACCTTTGAGTACAACTCCCTTTTAGCAGCCTTTTGAAGTGCCGAGAAGCGTGTTCAAGAGATCAGCAGAATGCACCTTTACAGATTAACCACTTGGTGTCACGAAAGCACAGCCCAGCAGCGCTCAAACGTTGTAATGTTAACCAGGCTGACTGTGGCTAACATTCTCTTGGTTTATTTCAAAGATGTGGCTTCAGCAAAAGGCTGGTTCTTGTGTTTCTTTAGTCTTAATTTTCTTTTGTCTTTTCCAGTCTTTAGGTTTTCATGATTTTTTTTTTTTTCTCCTCATCTTTATCTTGCTCTTTAGCTGCATGTTTTGGTTTGCTAAAATACTGTTAAAACCAAATTCTGCTAGAATGTGTTTGGCAGGAGTTGTGTGCAAGAAACACGAGCCTTTCCTGGGATATTATCTGTGCTGAGACTTTTTTCCCCAGAATTGCAGCTTGAAAGAATGAACCTTTAAAATAAGTTTTCTGCCCTTAAAATCATTTCTACTGGGGAGTAAAGAAGTAGGTTATGCATCTACTCAAAAATTAAAAAAATTCCCTACTGTTTTAATTAGGCAAAAGGATGCTATAAACTGAGGAAGGAATATCAAGGACAGCTAGGTAACAACCTGATGTTCCTTTTAAGGATTTAAATGAGCTCTTTTTTTTCTTTTTTTTTTTTTTTTTTTTTTTTCTGTTTTACATTGTTTCTGACTTTCGGCAAGCATTCAGTGAGATACCGAACAGTCTGTCTCCATCCCTCCCACCTTATGAACATTTTGCAAAACCACAGCAACAACAGTTTTGCTCTCTCAGTCCTGGGAAAAGCACAGTTCATGTTGCAGCCAGTTTCCCTGCCGCTATGCTGCTTTGAGCATGGCAGGGTGAAGATGAAAGTAAGGAGCAGGTCTGATCAGCCAAGTGGAGAAAGTAATATAGGAATGGGGAGTAGTACGCACATTTCTAGCCAAGAACTTCTTCTGGAGAAATATAGCATGATATATTTCATGTATCTCAAATTCAAACACAGGTCGTATCTAATACCATGGTGTCAGGGTATTTCAGAGTATCTAAAATCTAGGTCTGTCCCTGAGTTATAACAGCTTGAGTTAATCTCTGAAAGTATTACAGCTTTTTAGAGGTTCTGGCTTCTCCTGCAGGCAGAGCAGAACTTACTCTGAAACCAGGTAGGTTCATCCGGATACTCAGTTGTCTGCTGGCTTAGTTAATTGTAGCTCAGGTGGTCATGTTGTTGTGCCAGTATATTTCTCAGAGAATCCACAGTTCACTTCAGTTTTGCGCAAGTTCTCTCTGCGACAAAAATGAAACTTAGGTTGTGACTGCCTTGCCAAGGAAGCATTCCTCAGAAGGTATATTTGTCCAATAAAGACTTAAATTTAGTTGGGATTTACTGAAGTGATGATTTGCAGACGACACCTTCTGAGAGCATAGAGGCACAAAACCAGAACAGAGTAGATCCTATTAACTGTAGTTTACCATAGCCTAAGATGAATACTGTCTGAATGCTGGTTCTTTCAAGACACGAGCAACCCCGTTAGAAGAACAATTTAAAAAGACAGTAACCCACTTTCGAGTTAATAAGTAGAAGCTGTGGTGAATTCCAGAAAATGAAGTCTTCTGACTCTGCTGCTGACTGATGCATTAGCTATGGTATTTTTCAGAAAATAGAAGGAAAAAGTGATATATGTTAATGTGGATTGTATGTTGTTGTATATACAGTCTTTCTAGTTATGTAAATAATTGGCTCGCACATCACCTGCTTACTGTCTCTTGACTAAAGCTTTCTGATACTTTAGTGCTGTAATTCTTTAAAATTGAATGCAAATATATTTGGAACGCAAGTTCTAAAGAATGCAACGCATTACAAAGCATTGTGGCTTACAGGGAATTTCCATATACAACGCTTTTAATGAAGCTTCCTATCCATTTCCTTTACAATTCAGTTGATCACCCCCGCCTTTGACATGGTATTCTGGTACTTGGCAGCTTTTCCTTTTTCCTAAATCAAAATTGGCCTGTGGGTATCTTAACCATTTGGATGTGGAAATCTCATTTTCTGTCCTCCAAGGCTATCAAAACCAGTCCAATTTGGAAAAAAAATGTCATCTCCTTGAAATAAAGAAGAAAGAAAAGGAATATGTAAAGGTACAGAATAATCTTGCACTTATTATATGCCATATCCCTGTCACTGCCCCAACTCTTTACACATCCACTCTGAATTAGTTTAAATAGTCATTAGCATTCCACATAGTGCAGCGTATAATAGGGATTGCAGGGCTGATTTTAGGCGAGTGGCAATGTGAACTTCAGGGGGTTGTTTAATATTCATTGTACACTCTTTGAAAAAAGATAGAACATGTTTTTCAAACTTCTCTGCACATCTGTGCATTGTTGCATGTGTATTGTGGGCCCTGGTGGCCACTGAACAAGCTGGGCCAAATCTGCCTCCAGTTGCACAGTTGAAAATCTGGATAAATTCCATTCTGTTAAAAACAGAGATACCCTATTTACACCACTGTAGCAGAAGGCATATCAGGCCCTGGTTTGTTTCTGGCTGCTGTGATCAGCTGATGGTCTGTGCTTAATGATTTTACAGGCCTATAGGGGTATCTATACAGCAGTCTCAATTCAATTTGCTGATTTTAAATAAATACACTGCACTGAGACTCTTCTTATGAAGAAATAAAAAAGAAAAAGGAATGAATGACAGCCTCCTCTGATTTAAAAAATGATCTTTCAGTAGGGCCTCCTGGACCCTAATGTTCCATGTTCTTCTACGTGCACCTGCTCCCCTGAGAGCTTCTCCCATCCCCAGGGTCAAAGCCTTAGATCCTCTTGGATTTTTTGGCTGTGATGCTGGGTTTCTAGGTAGAAGTTTGGCATGGTAGTGTATCAATGTACTTAAAGTACTTCACCTTAGAAGCTGGAAGATCCTCTCCTGCTGTGTATATTCTGCTGGACTTCTTTGCTGAGTGCTAGAACCAAGCCCACTTTTCACGTGGCAGAACACACCACTACATATAGATATATGTTAGGTAGTCTGATAAATTGATTTTGGTTTTTATTTAGTCTGAGTTATGTAGTTCTGGGTGCTGTTTTCTAATTTGCTTGGTTTATGTTACACAGCATTGCTATGATTCTCCCTGTAGCTACAGAACTTTCAGGGTTAAATTTATATTGAGATGTATTCAAAGGAAACGGAGATGCACAAACATGCTACTGGGATAAGTGATATTTGTTTGTTCCTGTATGTCTATTGTCAGCAGAAATGATGCTAATAAAGCATGTATGAGCTAAGATTCTTTACTTCACGTTCCTTGGTATTTACAAACACAACATTTCTGAACTGACTGTAAATATGGAGAAAACTTTTTTACCAGCTATCATCAATAACTAGTTCACCATATAAGTATAATATATGATGGTTGTAAGAGGTGTTTTGTGAATATGGCAAAGATGTATTATTTTTAGGTTCAACTTTTGGAATTAGGGGAATATATTGAATCATCTTTATACAGTGCCTGGAAAAATAATCTAACAATCTAAAAATCTGACATTTATAACACTTCATTCTGAATCACTGACATTACGTGACAGTGTATTTATTCTTTCAATGATGCTGGTAACAAACTTGCTCAGTTCATAACATAAGGTGGTTTTCTTTCTAGCTGCCAACCCAGCCTGGGATCTGAATTCTGAACATTTTTTCCTAACTTCATTGGCCCCATCCTGCTTGGTAGCAATGATAATCTTAATGAAGGTGTATGAAAAATAAAGTTTATATCACTCCCTCCTTTGGGCAAAGGTTAAGGAAAAAATACTGTAATAAAAATTTGAATGGAAAACATTAAATTGATAAAAGTATATGATGCAAGTTGTGATTGGTCTGTACAGAATTGCAATCAGTGGGTGTAGTTTAGGCTAGGAGTTTGATGAAGTTTAGATACGTTTGATATATTTTCCTCAAGTACATGTCACTAATAGCATTCATTCCTGGCATTTCCGTTTGTGGTTCTGATTCTTCTTACTTACATGAAAGCAACTGAATGAACACTCAGTAAGCACTTACTTACTGTCTGTGGTACTAAATGTGACCTGCAAGCTCTTCTTCACAGCCATTGCTCAAGTACAACTTCATGTCAGCCCAAATCTGTGGTCCTGCTTCTGCTTACTGAAGAGTGATAATCACGTTGTTGTTTTTACCAGCATAATATTACTTTACATGCCTGCAGCATCCTTCCTGATGCCTCTGACGACATCACCTTGCAGCAAAGAATGACTGCTTTTATCCTTTGCACTGGTGGCAGTCTACAAAAAGACCAAAGCCACAAATTAATCTGTCTAGTACTCTAGGCTGGGCAGTGCATGCACTCTGTGTTGCACTGATTAAAAGGGGATGTCTTTATCTTTACCTAACCTCGAGGGTGTCACTGAGTGACCTTGAAGCCATCTTGGGTATTGTAATGGATTTATCTTTGCTCCTTTCTTCTCACACTGCAGCCACATTTACTTGCTCAGCCAGATGACCATGCTATCTGCCTAGAAACCCATTTGCCTCATTTCCATGCAGTAATGATTTTTATCCTCCCTCTCACATTAGTTGCCTTGACCACACTAGTTGTCTTGCCCATCAACTTTGTTCTTGTTGGGGTTCAGCTTTCTTCAGCTTTTCAGCAAAGTGTTGATTTAGGTGAAGTATTATGAAACCTGTGTGAGGATAGCTTTTCTTTGTCAAAAAAATGCAGAAGAAGGTGCAATCTTTTATATTGTTGCTGTCTTTGGCATAGGTGCAGCTTACCAGCTGTCCCGGTTGATAAATTTAAGGAGCAATAATGCTAAAGAGGGGACTGAACTTTGTTGCGTCATAGTGAAAAGGCCTTAGGGCTAACACTAGTTGACTCAGGAGGAAAAAGATTGGTAGATTGCAGTTTGGAGCTTGTTTAATACCGTATCAGGAGGACAAATACTTCCTTCATCTGTGAGTCAGCTCTGTAGAAAATAATAATTAAAGAAATTAAAATTGAAGTGCAATAGCTGGAAATTACTCTGAATGATTAGAATAAACAGAGACAAAGCAAACAAAAAGTAACAAAGGGTGTAAGAACCAGAAGGGCTATATCCTTTATTTCTTTCGTGTTATGGTGATATGACTCATCCCTCTGTGGCTTTCTTTATTTGGTATTCATTAATCACTCCACAAATAACTGCCTGACTCATCTGAGCTTGGAGCTAAACATCTCAATTTTTGAAAGAAATTTCGTGTTAGGGAAAGTCACTGAGCTGACAAAATTGTACAGCTGTGTCTATGAACTGGCAGGTCTTAAGTAGGAGAGCTTCAGATTTCCCCCACTGGCCCACCGTTCTTCAAACCTGCCCTAAAGTGTGCACCTCTTTAAGCACAATAAATGTTCAGTTGCCTTGCTTGTTGAGTGTGGGCTTAAATGTGAAACAGAGCACTTTAGCAATCCTGTACTTCTCGTAAAATGGAACAGACAAGTGTGTTTGTTTTACTTCTGATTTGAAGCAGTGCTTTAAGGGTGAAAGGTTATTTTGTCTTACTTCCCAACTAAAGTATCTCAATAGAGATTCCCCTGACCTAAACTGTAACAGTATATCTGACTGTGCAACCGGTGTTTAAGACTCTCTGCTTCATATGTATCTTAGAAAACTTTTCTTTTCTTTTCTTTTCTTTTTTTTTTTTTTTTTCCCCCTCCTGTTAAATGTCAATGCCAGCTCCGAACGGAGCTGCTGCGGAATAAGATTAGCCTTGAGGTCTCAGCAGCAGGCTCTGCCGGGGAGGGCTCCACTAGATGGCAATGTGTATCCAGATTCTGTTCCTGTCTCCTTTAGTGGGAGATCTTCCAAGTGCATCAGCAGATTTTGCTGGTGGAATAAAATATTAAAAAGCTCCATATGACAAAAACCTCGTTTAATTAAATAATCTTGATTATTTTGTTTAAATTAAAACCATTGTGCGCTGTTTTAATATTGCCAGATTAATGTGCAAAAAAAAGTATTTTTTTGCAAAATGTATTTTTTCTTTCCCTGCCCCATTCTGTATCATAAAATGTGTTTTTGTTCACACAGTATTATTTTATTGAGACAAATGACTCTGTATAGCAAATACAAGTAATTACGTCCATTCATAATTCAAATAATACACTTTTTTTAGTGAA